TATATATATAAACACACACACACAAATATATATAAAACTATACAGTATGTCATTGGAACTTGCTCCCCCACCATTTTCCTCTGTCAAGTAATGCTATTGTATGAACCAAAGTCGATAATACTGTCTGAGATTAGTTGTGATTCTTTCAGTGTGCCATTTTGAAGACAGCTCATTAACGTTCGTGGTAGTTCACAGAGGTTTCTCCTCGCCACATGAATTGATGGAAATCATCCACCTTCATGTGTAATCTGTCACCTATTGTGTTAGCTCCCTCCGAGAAAACAAAGTTAATTTGCCTTGCAAATGTTACTTCCTGCTCCGGTGCCAACGCAGTTGCTTGAAAAAGTGGTCTAATTATCACCACAATCACACCTTGACTTCAAGCTGTTTGTTTTCATCCCCACGAAGCCCACCCTTGTTCTAAAGCTTTTCACGGCTGTCTTGACTTGTCAAAATCAGCATTGTCTTCAATGCAGCTACTTCTTTGTCATTTATTCATCCCTGTCATCAGGCCAAAACCTCCTTTGCCACAATTGGGTATATTTCCTGTTTGTTAACAAATTTAAACTATCGTTCTGTCCACACGTGGGTGTTATTTTTCCAAATTATTGACCAATCTAAGTGTTGAAAATGCCTTGCTTTCCTTGACGATGCAATATTAATCGTCAAACAAATATGCAATTTTGAGGGTCTTCTGAAATGTGATCGTTTTGGAGGCACGAGGATTCTGCCTGATGCCAGCATTCTGACTGACCACTTTCAACATGCAGGGTTAATCTTGAGTGTACAAACATTTGACTCAGATTTCATAGCCGTACTTCTCACAGCCCTGAGGATGAATGTACAAGCGTTGTAGTCCTCAACGTGGTATTATGCTATTTCCTCTTGGCAGCAGCGTGTTCCAGTATCCATCAAGCCAGTTTCAGTGCCCTTATACTGTTGAGTGTTGTGGGGTAATGGAGTAGTTTATTCCAGATGGGTTCCAGCGAAAGGCGGATTACACCCTGAACTGTCACAGGATACACACCTGGATGGAGCGAGGCAACCATTCACATTCACACCATCACTTGAGGGGGAACTGAATCCACGCTGCTTTCACGGAAGTCATGTGAATTTACCATTACACCACCAATGACTCTTTCTCAGCATTTATACTCTACTTTTTCTGGGATTGTTTTTCTTCCAAATGCCCAAATCAATGTACCAACACCTAATTTGTAGACTTTCTAAATTTACATCCTGAGGACAAGATTTTGCCCTGTGCAATGAATGGTGACCACTCCAGGTGTAGTCAGCCTTTCATCAAATCAAGGAGTCTCCGTCTTTTCACGGTCCCTGAGCTGGATGAAGAGTGTGAAGAAAAATGAATCGATGCAGGAATATTTTTGTTCTTATTTTATGCTTACCTGAGCAGTTAAATACAATGAAGACGTTTTTTTCTGTGCAGTAATACAAAGTACTATGTAGGGAAAATACCAACTACTCGTAGTAGTTAGTTTCTTTTCATTGGGCCTCAACCTATAATTTAATCACTGTGGAATCAGCCATGCTGCAATCATTACTGCGAACCATTTAATTTACCTTTTAGCACTTCACATTATGCCACTGTACTATTGATTTTCCATTCGAAAGACACACACATTAAAAAAAAAATGTGACAAAGAGTTCTCCTATCATTCAGGCCTTTTGCACTTACATGGGGTGGTCAGAAATATCAACGTGTACTGAACGATTCCGAAATAACACGACTAGCTTTATGTCAACGGCTCATAAAAATATGTTTTGAATGCTCAGTGACATAATTTCATTCACCAATGTGGAGCCAAATTCCCTGCCATGGCCGCCAAGTGGACAGGACAACGTGAGTGAAGCTAAACATGATCTTTGATTTCACCTGGGAGAGTCTGTAATGCTTTGTGATCCGTACCGTTAAATGAAGGCAGCCTGATAAGAAGAGCTATTATGAAGCAGTCACACGCGCTCTGGTCAGTTAATGAACAACACTTACGTGGGTAATGACTGACCCTGCGTAATGTTGGCCCCTTGCTGGATGTCTCGGCTCTGTCTCCGAGCATTCTATGCTGAACACTATCATAGACCATAGCTAACTGTTAGAGATAGACAGAGGTGGGGGGATGGTTTGGTAAAATGACGCTGATTGGTGACATATTATGGTTGAGCAGCGAGGTAGCACTAATAAGGTAACAGATCACGGGAAGGAGTCTACTTAGCGCACACGCACGAACACGCACACACAGAAACTTTGTCTATCACACACAAAAAGTAATTGATGACTGTTCGATATGTTTCCCCCTTTATGATGATACTAATGCAGCGTGTTCTACCGGAGACAAATTCCTTGTGTGTTCTACATACTTGGCTGATAAAGATGATTCTGATTCTGATTCTGAAGTTTGGTTTCCTAGTGGGAACAATATTGCATCTGATCTAGGTTGAATCACTTGGTCACAGTTCTGCAATAGTTTTCCAAGGCTATTCTCTATTCTCCTGATTTGATCCGCAGACAAATTGGATCCAACTGACAACAAGGAAAACGGTACTGGAGTTTGTTTCAAGCTGACGACAAGGTGCTATCAACTTTCAAGACTTATAAGACAAATGAATGCAACTTGTCTCATTGAATTAAAACAACTTAAAATCCAGATTGCGAGCACTTGAGACAGCCTCCGTAACGTGTAAATTGTACAGTATGTCATTTTAAACTGTGTTCAAAACTGAAACGTTCCGCAGGCATGTACATAATTTTAATTGTGTTGAAACTGTAACTTTTTTTTTCTTGTCTCATGGCCAGCACTCCCTTAAAACATAGGTTTTTAATCTCAAAAGGATTTTCCTGGTGGAATAAAGGTTAAATAAATGCATTTAGTTAAGCAAATCAAGAGACAAATTGACCGTTCCCCATACAGGTGAAATTCAAACTAGCCAATTGCAGCACAGTACAGACTACATTCCTGGCAGCGTTTTGCTGTTATTTACTGATTTCTTTTTTGTACACGATTTTGGCCCGTTGCACACTCAGTGATGCAGCCGAATCTGGCTGAAGTGTCGCGCAGAGCATTAGGGGGCAGCATTGACAAAGGCTGCGACTTGGAAGAGAGCCCTCACGTCCTCTATTTCCTTCTACATTTATGGAAGAGAATATATAATCAGTGATGATTTCAACATATGTCCTGTGATTGACAGGCGACCAGTCCAGAG